ATATAACCTGTACAAACATCACGAGTTTGACTTTGCTTTGACTGCTGTTTCTGATGATGTTTTTTCTCTGGCTAAATGACATGTAGAAAAGAGTATAATTAGTTGCTTATTTGGTATTAACCCATGACAGCGTTATTATTTAATTAGCAATTTCTGGTCTTTCTTTTAAATTTTCATTAAAAAATGGCTTGTGGCAAATTGTCACCAGTGTAATGCTTACTATTTTAATTCAGTCCATGTTCAAATCAACAGTGGTACTGGAAGAAAGAGAGAAAATATTCATTTTAGCCACTATGCATTTTTTTTAAGTTTGAAATACACTTCTTGTACACAAAATTGTGGAAAATGTGACCTAACTATAAAGGCATGTGGAAAAAGTAGCAGCCACATGCTGCTAATCAAATGCACATCATTAAATGATCATCAGGTGGTGGAGGTTTTGCTGTTTGGTCATCTGGAGTACTCAGGTATATGTTAACACAGTGCTACAATATTCCAATCAGAGGACATCCCAGCAATTTCATTTCAAGGTGAGAACCTGCAATCCTCAGAGCGACTGCAAGAAACCTAAGAGCTACATCATGACAATGATCCCAGGCACCCCCGCAAATCAACTAGAGAATGATTAAAAAAGCAAAGAATTAAGGTGTCGAAGTAGCCCGGTCCAAAAGCCCAACTCAAACAAGGCACTTTCCAGTGACCATTGTTTCAGAATGTCATGAACTTACCATTTAACATGCTAACTGAGGCCTGTATAGTCTGACATGTAGCTCTTGGCAGTTTTTGCAGTTTCTCTCAGCACTGCATGTTCTGACCTTGAGGTGAATTTGCTGGGATGCCCTCTGATCGGGAGATTATAACTCACACCTGAATGGTCCAGATGACCAAGTGCAGACCTCAATCCAATTGAAATGCTGTGGAAAGACCTAAGGAGTGCTGCGCATAAATGAATGTACACAAACTGAAGCAACATTGTAAAGCTGAGAGACTAATGCAGTCATACAGAAAACGACTGCTTCTTGTTAGTGAAGCTAAAAGTGCTTCTACAACTTCAGACAACTGAATCATGGTCCTATACCTTAATATTTCTTAACAATTTTTAGACTTTCTACCATTGATGAAAATTTAAATGACATGATTTAAACAAATGTTTGAGTATACTGTTTTCAGAATGAGACACATGTTTGTATTTTTAAAAGCTTTGTCTGGTAGTTATCTACTTTGTGTTTGATTCAAATCTGAGGCCATATTTTTAGGTCTTCTACAGAAACTGATTGTAAGCTTATTCACATCAAACAGAAGGATGGTAAATAGTTCTGAAATCCTTGAACATAAATTTCATATTTCCTGATTGCATTGTGTTGTAAAGTGACTTCTTGCTGTTATGTAATTTGTGGATATTTGTCCCAGAATTTTAAAACATAAACACATTTATTTATGACACAAAATCCTGTACCAGAGATTTTAGGGATGTAGCAATTAACATATTTCTTTGCTGTGTTTTGAGATGATTTTGGAACAAAGTCTTTATATTGCCAGAATAAAAAAAAGGTTTCTGAATTACACTACACAGCCTATCAGAAAAGCCTACACTAAACGTGCATGAAAGAAGATTTATATTGGTTGAACCTTGGAAGCGACAGCAAATTTCAGCACAATGCAGTGTTTTTATCCAACTAGAATAATTGAGGGATCATAGAGATATTGTTGCTTTTCCTCATGTATTGAGGATTTGGAGAAGATGTACATCTAGCTTGTACATTGTGGTCGTGCCAATGAGTCATTTAGTCCGACACATTGACAGAAATCTGCATTCATCTTCCTGAGATTAAGTGAAGTGTTCGCTTTGCTTGCCACATATTTGATATCAAATCCATATAAGCTGTTCCTTACCCCCTTTCACGTTTGTGAAAATTTGTGGACACAGCCAAAAACAACAGTTAGGCTGTTTTGATTCAAGGCATCAGCTCTGAGATCCCCAGACTTCTTATTGTACCGCCTTGTTTTTTGGGGGGGGGGGTTTTGTTTTTTTTTTTACAGAGAATAAACATGGATTTTCTCATCTGTATGAGGAATGTGAACAGAGCCTGAGTCGATATTGGGGAGAAATCCGAGTGCATTAGGATGTAGGGCAGGTAGAACAATTTAACTCATATTAAAATTCATATTTTTTTGTTGTCATGACTTGCAGGTAGGTCAAATATTATATAATGTGCATTTGCTTATCTTCTTTACCTAATGGTGTTAATTTATTTCAGTTTTCCTATCTTAGAAACTGTGCAGTATTGACAGAGGTAATTAAAGATTGTAGCAAATGAAAATAAAAAGTCAATTCACAGGTCTTAACAATACTATCCCAGCTACCATAAAGTGAACAGAAAAGTACACAAAACATAATTAAACAATACACAAACTCACATAAACCATCATCATCCCAGCCAGTCCCCACTGGTTACAAGAGCATCTTTATTACTTACCATTTTAACTGAAAGATTGATCATCAGTTGATTCACACTGTGCAGGTAAGAATGAATGTGTACTGGTGGAACAGATGGAGACAGGTGCACAATCTCTTCATTTGTTAGTTAATTGTTTATGAACGCCGCCTTAAAATAAATAAATAAAAGTTAATGCTTTTAAATAAAAGCTTTAATTTTGAGGTGGGATAGGACACGATGAAAAGTCCTGTAATAATGTTGTGTAATCGCCATATTAAAAGGAAAACAAATGTGATGGCCAAGGTAAGAGGTGAATATGTGGTGCTCTCCAAGGTGCTGTACATGCAGCTGTCAGAGGCAGAGAAAATGTCTAAGCCTCTCACTTTAGCTTGCACCAGGTGTTAGTGGTAATTATTAGCAGCAGCTTATGAGACAATATCTTAGCTGCGGTTCAAACACTGAACTCACCTGTGTATGTGTGATGTGTGTTTTTGTCTCTTGGTTGCGAGATTTAAGAGGTTGTTACTATGCCTTTCTTCACCTTCTAATGTTCTCATAATAAGCACTGTCGGTGTCACAGCACTCAGTGTTTCTCTTCTATTAAGTTCTGTTTGTTTTGTTCTGAACCGTTAGTGTGACAGTATGCCAAAGTTATACTTTTGTCACCTTGACGGCTGAAGTGTTTATTGTTTCGACAAGTAGGTTCTGTGATTTTGACAAGATAATAAAGTTAAATGTTACTGCACTTCATGTTCTTGGGTCTTTGACCTAGTGTTTGGAGTTTTTTAAAGTTTATATATCTTTGAATTTTGTATTTTAGGTTTTCTTTTGTGGGGGTGTTTTCCATGAGTCTATGTCCATGAGTTTTCAGTTCATTTGACCTCTCCTGTGTCCCCGTTTACTGTTATCAAGTCTTAGTCTCTGTGGTAGGCATTTTTCTGTGTTGTTACTTCCTGTTTGTTTTTGGTTGCTCTTGTCCCATGTGCCTTGTATTTACTTTTGCTTCCATTGTCTTGATAATGTCTGATTAGATTCAGCTCTGTACCTGGGTGTTTCCCATATCCTGGGTTACCTCATGTTTCTATTTAAAGCAGAACTTTGGCTAACTTTATGTTTTGTTGTTTCCCCAGACCGTGTTTCACTTTGTTTTTACGTATGAACTCTGATTAGCCAGAATAAATGGCTCACTTTTTACTTGCAGTCTGCCTCGTCCCATGTCCAAGCTTTTGGGTCCACATTTTAATGCTTCTATGACATCATGTTTACTACTCTACATCACTGGCTGGTTTGGAGATGCCTTGAAATCCCAGAATAACTGTGGTAAGTTAGAGCAGCATATTACTATGTAGTTAGGAAACTTGAAAGCCATCTTGGCTGTGATTAATTCTTTATTGTATTAAAATTATTCATCTGGACGAAATCATCCCCTGGGTTTCAAAGTTGGATACATTAAAGTGTGACATGTCCAGGTCAAAATGTCTCACTATAAAAGTAGAGCACAGAATTCATGAAAGGAACTACTAAAGGACGAAGAGACTAACGACTAATTCTATCATCCCTTTACTGAATGTCAAAACGGGGGGACTACATTTGTTTTTGGGGAATAGCGTTTGACCAGTTGCAAACATAAAAGGGAGTACAAGTGTATTTTGGTGCTGTGATTAGCAGTGTTTTTATTATGCAACTTCTCGGAACCTCTCAAAGGACATGATCGACATGAACATACATTAAGAATTTTAAAAATAATGACCGTCTTTCATGTGGGGAACTGAATGTGGCCTCATAAAGCCAGAATACAGGCACTTTAATCAGTAAAGCAGAACATGCCTCAGTGTTGCCCTTAAACCTGAACCCCTTGGATTTGGATATTTAATTGAAGATCTTCCAGTGCTACCATCTGAAACAAGCCGGTGTCACTTTTAAAGAACTTTCGAAATGTGGTAACCCATCCCACTGGAATCCTTTGCATAGTGATGGGAGACATGTTAATCCACTGTTGATCTACCCAGGGATCAAGCTCTTCCAAAATCAATAAAACTGTGAAAGCTTGCCTTCTGGTCTTAATCAAATCCTTTACATTCGTGACTTATACAGTTTGATACTACAGAACCTGATAATTTGCTTCTGTATCAGATGAATGTAGTGAAGAAATATCAACATTTGCATTTTCTAAGCTCAGCAGAATCGCCACCTCCCCAGTGGAGCATAAACGTGCAGGCCAAGTAAAGGTTTGTTAAGTTGCAGATATTAGAAAAGAAATCCAAGTGTAACAGACTGCATTTTATAATTCACACTCACGAAAAACAATGGGATATACCCACAGGCATTTATGGCAGAGATTCAATTTTAAAGTCGGCTCCATATCTTCCCATTTTTAATCCGATAGCACCTACAGGATGTTTTATGTATTTGTTATTTTCTACCAGGTTGTATCTCATATGCAGGTACCGACCTGCTACACTGGATGAGGCTCGATTCCACTCCACGTTTTGTGTCCCGCTTTTGCCCTGCCGGTGCATCTGAACACACAGCGCTCTCCTCCACAGAGCATTTCCACTTCAACGCAGCTACAATGGGCTTTCTTTGCTGAGCGAAGTTGAGTCAACAAGCCGGGAAACGCGCTCCTTGGATTCATGTGGCACCTTTACGCTCACAGCTTTCTTCTCTACTGCGCCGAGGGACTTTCAACTGAACTCGGTGGCGATACAAATCCGTTGTGCTTTGGGGGATGTGTTTATAGACTATAGTTCAGTTTCAACCACCAAAAACGACCAGTCATTAAGTAGTCTACCTGCGAATCTGCTGCAGGAGGGGGGAGTTTTGCCAGCAAGCGGGACACTGCAGAGTACCTAAACAGTGAGGGATCTGTACAGAAGTGAACGATGCTCAGACTGGAGACCATCATTTGCACTTTTTCTGTGCTGTCTGTTGCGGCAAGAGCCGAATTTAAAGCGAGGAATTGCAGCGAGGTGAGGGAGGCTTCCATCGCGAAAGGCTTTGGCTTCTCACATGTTCCCCATCAGGAGATCCCAGGTAAGGGTGGACTGAGTTACTGGCTCACGACCTGCCGGTTACAGCATCCGAAATGATCGGGAATATGCAGCGACTTTTACAAAATAAAATAATAATAGTAAACGCGTCTGTGTTAAGTGTTTATATCTGAGAGGAAAAGTTAAAAATACTCAGCAGTCCTATTGCAACTAATTTAAGACGCTAAATCGTTTTAATGCTGCAGGGGGTACGCTACTGCGACTGCACCACGTCCAACTAATCGGTTCCAGCTTTTCAACCACCTGTCACTCACAAAGTACCTGCTGTGATTTTCACTCACTGAAGTTAACTTTATACAAATGATGTGAGTTACTTGATTTCCAAAACGCTCCTGACTGACTACCTGGGGGTAGTGAGCTTCCCACAGCTGTTTGGAGAGATCTACTCTAATCGGGAACCCACGCATGTAAACTGCCTGAACGCATAACTACAGGCTTATTTAGTGAT